GGGCGAAGGTGACGAGCAATCGTCCGGGCGCTGCGGGCCCGGAATTCCCCCCCGAACAGAGTGTCCGTTGTCGACACCGTTCCGCGTATCATTGCAATCCGTCACAGTATATATCACACTTTCATATCTTCTCAAACAAAATGTCTCAGTTTCACCCTGCATTGCCGTTTCCATTTCTTCAGCATTTTAGTACATTCGCTACCGCTGACGTGAATTCACATCTTTTCAAGTTCTATTTGCAAGTCATTTGTAAGTCAATTTGCCCCAAACGTCATTATAACAATCGAAAGCATATTGACGAATGATAAACAATTTAATTCAAAGATATATGTACACGGCGATGCAAAGCTAAATGGATGCTCTTTCCATATCCTATATTTATAAAATGATAAACGACAATACATTGTGTTAAAGAAGAAGAAAAAAAATGAGAACTGCCAAAATTCACCTCCCATCGTAGTGTGTGTTATTATTTTTTGGTAAATAAACGAAGCTACGGCAAATTATTTTAAGTACCAGCATAACTGTGGCGTACAATTAAGAATAAAATTATGAATGATATTAAGTGAATAGAAAGAAATTATTCAATATTCGTTTATTTATCCCGTAGGACTACTTGCTCTGGTCTCCTCTACGTTATTTCCCTCTTTCTCTACCTTTTCTACGTTGCTTTATTTTTCTCGTTAGTTCATCTATCTGATCGTTATATAATTTATTATGTGGAAGTGGATGATTGTTGATCCAACGACCGCAGAAATATTCGTAGAAATCAACGCATGGGTCGACCCTCATGTCCATGTACTTCAAAATATCACTTGCTACAGGATAAAAAAATTGAATAAACATTATAAATTTAAGACATGGTTAAAGATTGTTCCTTGCACCAATAAATAACCCATACAATAAATTGCTAGTTAAACGTAAAATAAAAGACTTATTGTTCAATTCAGTGCCGAAGAAGTTATATTTAATTTGTTCTTTCCAATTTGATTATATGTAACAATTTAATTGTTGCTTACCAGCATTTTTGCAGACGTTGGTACTGCAAACTTCCGAAGTTTGCGACGTCCCAGGAATTGGCGGTGGGGTTTGTGTCTTCACTTCTTGTACAATTGTCAGATACACCCTTGTAAAATGATATATAAATCGCAATGAGAAAATATGAATGACATGTGCAAATTATAAAATATACTCGTCTTCATTCTATATAACTATGTCCATACATTGTGACACAGAGGATTACATTTTTCGATTCGTTAATACTAATTCCGTTATTAAATTTCATCGCTCTTCAGTTGAAGTTAATCTTAGAAATGGATACTTAGTGGAAACAATATACCGTCTCAGTTTTGTATCCGCGTTCTTTTTATGAAAAAAACAATAAACATACAAGGGTAGGTAAAAGGTAAAGATAAATTTCGATCGTGATCGAATATTTACACGACGTCGCTTTTTACTGCAATTACAAAATGATAAAAGTAACAACTGGACATCATTGTATCTTTAGAAGAACGCGTGACACATCTCGAATATAACAAGAAAGGACAATAACGTCTCATTGCAAAATTCTTCCACTTCAACAGAAGAACATGTTCTTCAAAGAAGAGAAAGAATAACCTAAAAGGCAATGTATTAAAATCAGATATTATACAACAATTGATCGGCCAAATGCTCACAATCAACATGAACGTCGTTTAGATGGTAAAATTAAATTTAGTTTGAATTATATATTATGAAAATAACGTCTCATTGGAAAATTCTTCCACTTTAACAGTAAAACATGTTCTTCAAAGAAAAAGAGAAAAACAACCTAAAAAGCAATGTATTAAATCATGTATTATACCACAATTGATCGGCTAAACGCTCACAATCAACATGAACGTCGTTTAGATTGTATAATTAAATTTAGTTCGAATTATATATTATGAAAATAATGTCTCATTGCAAAATTCTTTCACTTCAACAGAAGAACATGTTCTTCAAAAAAGAAGAGAAAAAACAATGTTAAAGTCAATTTATTTAGATCATGTACAACAATTGATCGGTCAAACGCTCACAATCAACATGAACGTCGTTTAGATGGTAAAATTAAATTTAGTTCGAATTATATATTATGATAATGACGTCTCATTGCAAAATTCTTCCACTTTAACAGAAGAACATGTTCTTCAAAAAAGATGAGAAAGAACAACCTAAAAGTCAATTTATTTAGATCGTATACAACAATTGATCGGCCAAACGCTCCCAATCAACATGAACGTCGTTTAGAACGTGTAATTAAATTCATTTCGAATTAT